CAGATATCCTTTTCATCAGCCAGGCATACCATTTTCATATTAGCGTTGGAATCCCTCTGTCCGGCTCCTGCCTCACCCACGCCATCACCTGTTAGCGACAGGTTTGGCATCTGTTGGTCTCCACCTGTAACAAGCTCTGACTTTGTCTGGTTTCCATTAGTTGGTACTGGTTTGTCTGACGCAGCGCTGCTAACTGGTTCCTCTCCCTTGGAAGCTGTTTTTTGGGTATGTGGGATGGTGTTTGCGGGAGAAGCAGTCAGAGATAAGTTATCCTGTTTGTGGTCTGGAGATGTGAGGGTGGGTTTTGGACAAACCTGAGAGAGTTTGAGGTTGGGCTCTTTAGCCCAGTTGGCATTAGTCTCCTTATTACCCAGCGTGTCCACCACAGCCAGCTGAGGCACCATCTGGACTGTCACTGTCCTTTTTGGGTTAGTTCCCATCCCGGATTCACAGTTTCCGTCTTTAAATATTGTCGTAATCCACAGATGAAAACAGATGCACAGTACCAGTCACTTTAAGCAGCTTCCTAAAAGAAGAAAGTAAACATTGACTTACTTTGTTTTTAATGGTTGAGCTTCACTTTTCAACAACTTAAATCTTGATTTAGTCAAAAATAATCAGATTAGACTCAGCTGGATGAGCCTTATGTAAAGTTCCTTTGAAGAGTCATTAATATGTATTTGAATAATCAGCATTAGAATAAAGGCCAAGCACCAGAATGACCCGTACTTTCCCAATTTAACCATTGCTTTGAATTAAGATTATAATACGTGATTCATGAAGCCTAATGATCAAATTAATCATAACATACAGTCATAATAACAATACTCTATGTTGAAATAATAGCAATGTGGAGTCTATGCAACTATATCTGTTCAACAAGCTACTTTTCTTTGTACTGTGATTTTGATTGTTGATTAGTTTTTCTGTCTCTGCAATGTTCTTTGAAAATTGCTTGGGAAAAGAGGCTATAATAATAAATGAACTTACACTAAATGCTGGATTCAAATTATTCTAGAAATGTGCCATCTTTTTCATTTGAATGTTTAATAAACGTCCATTGAAGATGTTAAATGCATTTCTTTGAAATTCAAACTGCTTGGTCCACTTGTACAATTGACAAAAAAACAAAACAACAAGAATAACAAGAGGGTAATCTCTAAAGAGTATGCAAAACTGCTGTGACAGATTAAAGCAAAGCAAAGTTTACAAACTTGGAAGTAATGTAAGCAGAGTAAAGAAATAAGACTTTGTGTGTATGTATGCTGAAAGTGCTTACAGACATGGGTTTTTGCTTGGCAGTATCACCCAATTCTCATCTAAAGTTATCATAAATACCCAGGATGATCAGTGTAACGGTATAAAAATATACTGAGTATAAGTGGTCAAACCCCTCTTTTGCTATAGCTAACCCCTGCGATCTTGTTGCTATATTACTGTAGTTTAATTGAACAATAAAGTACTGTGTTCTATTTTAAATGGCACACTTACATGATAATTCAGGATTAAGATACATTTGTAAAAACAACCCTGCAAAATGCCTGAACGATTACAACAAACAATTACAGTTACTCATCAACAGTTTAACTTCCTTTTTCTAGCAGGGCACTTTTAGTGAAACAGAAGAAGTGTGTGTCTCTTTAGATCCTCTTTTGTCCTGTAATTAATCTAGTATAAATACTAGGCACTACAGTTTCATACATCTCTTCATCCCAGGCCTGATGTATGATAATAAGCATCTGGACCAGATCTGCAAGTAATGTGTCAGCACTCAGCAGACGTCTGACATATCAGATCCTTTGGAGTCAGACCGAATGAATTGCACTGTGATCAACACTTCAATCATACAAAACAGCCTAAAGGTTACATCCAAAGGGGAAGAACAGCCACCAATTGTTAATTCGGTGATCCAGGGAGAGCAAATTGTTAATTTCCATTTCAGTGACATTACTGATGATAATCCATTCTGCATAATATGCAGTTCATCTCATTGAAAGGAATGTTCTTGCCTTTCGAGATATTCTCCTTTCTCACAACAACAACAACCATAATCTCAAGTCTATAATAGATTTTTTTAAGACTGTTTTTATCTAGCTTAATCAAGAATAAAAACGATTAAATGATAATCATTTCTTTATGCACTTGGTAACCTGAAAGAATAATTTGTGTGACTTGAATAAAACAGATAGGCTACTCTTTTCGGGTCATGGACAGGTGCAGCCCATTTGTGTGTGCTCACCCACTACGCATCTGCGTGTCTGTTGTCAAAGTGCAAATATTTATGGGAAGCATATCCTGACAGTAATTAGATATTCAACACATAAAACGCCCTGGAGTCTGGGCTTTGTTTTGCCTGCAGCAGTTTAGAAATAACAGAAAATCCACGCACAGCGGCAAACATTACACACATTAAAGTGATGCAGGCCAATTAAGATCTATGTCATGTACTGCCTACGTTTGCAGTCCTGTCCCACCCCAACATCTTAGAGGCCACTGATGTTTGCTGATTTCATATGACCTTGCGGACAAATTAAACGTCTGACACGAAGAAAACCACAGTCTAATGAAAAGAGGAGGCTAGTTTACCTTGAGAGGCGCTTTTATGTCCCGGACCTTGGGGTGCCGTTGGCGCGTCCGTGTCAGTGAGATAAACCCAAGAAATGAATATGGAAAATGAGCCCTGTGTCGGTGACACCAAGCCACGCCTTCCACCAGAATATGGGTCTAAGAGGTAGGCTATCGATCATCCACGGAGAAGCGCAAAATTCAAGCGCTGACTGACCGTGCGCAATGAGTCACCACTGCCCGACCGATGGATTCCGCCTCTGAGGTCTTTACTAGCGTCACCTCATACCTAGAAAAAGTGCACCTTTCACAAAATGGACCTCATGGTGTGTGCCACGCCAGACTAAAGTGTTCCAGTGCAGGCAGCCTGGTGCAGCAGAGTAAACCAGATGAATGGATGAATGAGGGAGAGAATGAGAATGGAGGCAGTGCTACATGAGTGCAGGGAACCATAAGAGCGTCACTTGCGCTTGCAAATTGAATACTTTCGGATCTTGACATTATCATGCGTCTCCTAAAGCAGCCTGTAATATTCCAACATAATAGATCATTTATTTTGCGGTGCCTTTTTGTATCATTGCAACGTGGATTTAAGAGAAGACCTTACAGACAGTGCCTATTTGAAGATGTGCATTTGGGAATATCAGGTTATATTTCTCAACAGAATCAGGTACATTTGCATTACAAATTGCATTTTGAAAGTGAAGACATTTTCCTCTGTGGTTTTAAGAGGTCTGCCAGACCAATTATGATCAGGACGTTTATAGTAGCCCAGGCTTGGTGTCATGAAATATCCTCTCAAATATGCAGTTATAGGTAGGTAGGTACATTAATTGTCACAATATAACAGGTTATGAAATTGAGCTTTGTAACTCCCTTCTGCTACAGAGCAGACAATATACATTAAGAAGCAATTATAAAAATGGTGAACAAAAGTAAACAATATTCAATGATCAATGGAGCAGTGCTAAGGATGAATTTGAGTTTAAGATCCTGGTTGCTTGGGGGAAAGCTGCAGTCTGGTGGTGCTGCAGCTGAAACTTCTATATCTCTTCCCAGAAGGCAGCAGGGTGAACAGGCTGTGGCTGGGTTGGGTATGTCCTTTGGTATCCTCAGTTTAGCTGACTTTCATGTAATATCTTATTTCAGTTTAGCTGACTTTCATGCGATATCTGATCCATTTAAAGATGTCTCATTACAATATTTGAAATGTCCCTTTTAGATGACAAAACACTGACTTTAAAAATATGATAGGCCTATGTGCATAAAAAAAGGTTACAATGATGAATTTAAACAAATTTTATAATTGATTTAATATCAGCATTACAGGCTTCTTCCTAGCTTTGCCCAGGCTAATCTCTCAGACTGTTATTATAATCTAAATGGTTATTTTGGGGATTCAGTTTTCAAATATAGCCAGGGTCTGAGACAGGAGCTTCTCCTGGAATACAGTAATTGTATGAGATAGACCTCCTGCCTTTGAAAGCCCAGGGGGACTGATTAGGTGAGAAGGTAGACCGTGACTTAATTACAGTTGGGTGCACCATTGGTGAGCAACTCAGGATTGGCTGCATGCTTTGTTAATATGCCAGACTTCTGTTTCAGGGTGAGGGCTTGTGGAAAAAGTGACACAGCTGGTGAGAAGAAAATCTAATTTAATGATTTAAAAACGTGTGGTCTGTTGCCACCATTTTAAACAATGGCTAGACATTATGACAGAAATTGTAAAACTCTGAGAATTTTAATGAGAATAATGGAGACTTAAAGTCAAATCACTGGCATAATATGAGTGGATTGTTTTTAAATAGACTTTGATATAAATTTCCATCTAACAGATTAAATTGTCATGTATTGGATCTGGCATCATCTTGTGGTTAAATTGGGGAAGGCAAAACTTGGCTAGGCTGGGTTCTAGTAGCTGAAACCAACCTTATCTGCAGACTATGATCACTTTCAAAAAAATTACAGTCAGTGTCGACTTTAAATCATGATGAGTCAGTGGGTTAATGCTCCACGTAGGCCTGCACACTACACAGCTGATGTTTAAAATACCTTATTATTGAACAATAGGTTGTTTATTGCTCTGTGGCTATAAAGACCGGTGCACACATCCATGTGTTGAGACAGCAGTAAGTTTTGGACAGAAGGTGGCGCTGCAGCAGCTTTGAAAAGCGCAGAGAGCGTCATTGAAACGCCAGCGTGTGCTACGTTCAAAGACGTCATGTCAATTAGCGTGAAAAATACATTCAACACGTAAAGTTTCTCTGAGTGTGTCCGCGATTTTTTGGCCGAAATTGCAACCCACCCACTCTTAAAAACCCACCAGAAGAATCACATTAATAAAAACATGTAATGGTTAAATAAAAGCATCTATGTCATCCAAAAACCTCCAATTTCCTATGTGCGTGTTAGTGCTAGCATATGAACGGCCGGTCGGAACCTGAACGCACCAGAGCAAGAGTGTTGTCAAGAGAGACTTTGCTAGCTTGAGGACACGGCTCACAGCTTGCAAGTGGAGATAAGTTTGGGTATATCTTTTACTGGCAATATTGTCTCTGCGGTAATTGGGTAAGATTAACTTCAGTTTCCTAAATACTAACTATAAGCAAATCAGTGCTCGTGACGCAACCTAATATTAATACAGCTAACCAGCTAACACTTCTAAGAATACAATGGCAACCTGTTGTCTTAACCCGGTTAACTGTCATCTATGATTTTTAAGCTTAGTGTAGTTTGTTAAAATCAGAGGTAAAGTTAACTAGATAGCAGTTTTCTAACGGTAATGTACATTGGTCAGATTGCTGAATATTTGTAGCCTAACATAACATAAAGTGAATGATCACGATTGTCAGAAGTTAGCATTAGCTTTATTGCTAGCTACTAACTTACAGTGCTATTTCGGCTGCTGTCTACCTTCACCGTTAGACGTCCTTCTGGTCTTTTTCACATTGACACTATCCCGTCTTATTGTAGGCACTGTTTTAGTATTTTAGTGTGCTTAATGTTTTTATCAGCGGATCTTACCATAATTGAGTAATTAATTTGTCTGGTGTTAAACGCAGAATATTGGCTCAAGTGCTTCGAACAGTTGCCATTGTCATCATGACACAGACAGACCAGTGTTTCAGTCCTATTCACACTGACACTGTGGCGAGTATCGGTAGACAGTGATGGAAATTAACTAAGTGCATTTACTCAAGCACTGTCTTTAAATACAGTTTAGATGTTCTTTACTTGAGTAACGTTATTTACATGTTAAGCTACTTTGTACTTCTACTCTGCTAACGTTACATTTGAGAGAAAAATATTGTTTATTTTTACTCCAGTGCAGCTTAGTTACTTTGCAGATGAATAGTTCATTCAATATGAAATGATGAACAAGTACGCTATGTTGCCTTGTTATAGGACAAATTGCCCAACTGCATAAAAAGTAGATAACATTGAGAGAGGCAACAATTTGTCAATAGACTTGTTGAGCAACAAAAAATTGTGTTGCATTATAGTAAAGTGAATATTTTGCAGAGGTGTGGAAAAAAATTTTCTGATGTGGTATAGACCAAATGTTTTACCGATTTAATAAAAAATTTGCAGATTAATAATTTATGAAAATAGTCCTTAGATACAGCCCTAATAAAATTAGCTTCAGCCAGAACAGCAACAACATTAAAATACTACAATCATGTAATAACATAATATATAACAATGAGTAGTTTTTACTTAAGTACATTTTGTTAATAATGATAATGCAATACTGTGTCTCAACACAGTTATGTCAATAAAAAATAATTTTGAATTTGAACACTTACATAAAATTAGATTTTTGTCTTTTACTTGAATATTTTTACATAGTGGTAGTAGTACTTTTACTAAGTACTGTCAGTAGGTATTAATAAGGGCCACCTTGCATGAGTGTTCAAGTATTCATGTACAACTTCTACTTGTCATTTCATGCATGAAAATTGAAGGGGTGCCAATAACCCCTGATGCATAACCATCCGTCGTTGATGATGAGCTCAGTGAAGAACCAATTTAAGGCATTCAGTGCTTTTCAGACAATGTTGAAAATGTGCATTTGATTCCATTACTGTCAGATTTTTCTGCTTGAATTCTTCAAGTGGCTGATGTATTTTCTCTGTCCATGTACTAGAAAATGTTGGGTTATATCTGGCAGTATGTCTACACATCCTTCCTGAGATACTGGCTGAAGTGGCTCGTCAGACAGGCAACAGGGAAATGTGAGCTGCAGAGAATATGCTCCGGTCACAAACCTGGGGCAACAAGGACAACAAAAGCAGGTGATTTAAATCATCCCAAATCTGGTCTACTGTTCCTGCTTAGTATACATATTTTTCAATTATAATTAATCTACATCTTGTTTCCTATTGCAGAGTATTCTCTCCAGTCTTCAAAGAACAAGGTGAGAAATATTACCTTCAGTTTTTTAGTAGGTAATGGACAATAGTGATAGTTCTGTTTCTGTTTTCCTCCTGGGAAATGTCCACGTTCAGCTTCAGTACTTGTGGTTTAGCTTTATTATTTAATGTTCAAGTTTCTTTATATAATTATTGAAAGACAAACGCATTTAACGCAAACTTCCTGAACAACAGCAAAATTATCTGTAAGCATTATGAAAATCGAATCATAATTCATCAAAAGTGATTTGTCATAAAATTGCTCCTGGTTTCAGCTTCTGAAACTTGAGAACTGAATTAGTTTTAATGTCATTGCAAATTTAAACATTTAATTTATTTATTTTTACTGTTGGCTTTTTATTGATTTAAGTGATGAATCCACTAGCCTATTAAAAAAACAACCTAATTGGTTAATTTGTAATATAAATAATTATTTCTTGCTGATGTACAAAATTGCTTTACCCTTACAAAAAGCAAGAAAAACACAGGAAATAATATGTAATCATACACTACACATACTGCACAGACACAGTCAAACATAACCATAAATATTAAAAACTTGCAACACAATAATATAATGTACTGTAAATGTGTTGTAGGACAGTAACTGGTCAAAAAAACAATTTTAATCGAAATTTAAAGAGGTGAGTCCTTTAAAGATGCACCCAACACTACAAATTGGGAGGGAGCCAGTGTCAAGACACCAGGATTGGGACAATGTGATCCCTTTGTGTAGATCTGTACAATAATCTAACAGCAGCAGATAGAAGTCTGAGTAATCTGCTGTAATGTTTAAACTATGTGTTCCCACAGAGAGCTGTAGGAAACACCGCTTGCTTAATTTCTGACCTGTTTGTTATCTGTTAGGCTGTTGAATGTGTGAACTCCAATGAAGACACATCATTTGAGCTTCACTCATTTGTGATTTCAGCAAGTTAAGCTTTTCAACAGTCCATTTGGTGTAGAAACAGAAGTGCTTGGTCATCTTCTTCATTGTGTCTGAGGCTGACTTTCAGATGGATTTTTCCCACTGTGGTTAGCAGCATAGATCATGTAGCAACCACTTTGCCAGTTTTCTGTCTGGTATCTTGCTGTGTTATTACTTTTCTGTGACTACCCCGTCCTCTCCTGTGCTTTCTTCCTCTGTAGGTTTTAAGAGGAGCTTTGGAAACCAACAAGGATAAATTAGAAGAATGTGTGGATCAAATTATGAAAGTGAAGAATGTCAAACCCCAGAAAGATCCGCTGTAAGGTTACTTCTTATCTGTTTGAGGTTGTTTGTCACCAGCAATACTTTTATTTCCAAATCATATTTGGTTGACTGAATTTTTTTAATCAACATATTCATTATTTTTTAATCTCTCTACCTTTCTAGGTTCAAGGAAAGCCTACACATATGTCTGTTACAGATAACAGGATACAGTAGCCTGTATACGTCTGTGGAAGACTTGAGAAAGGAAGTCTTCAACTCAGAGAACCAAGAACACGAGACCATGCTGTTGAAGGTGTGTTCCTGCTTCTGCATCCACACATTTGTAAAGCAGTTGCTGTGTATGTTTTAGCCAAATGGTTTCTCTTCCACAGAGCTAATAAGTATATGTCCAAAGAATACGTATGTCCATGTGGTATTTATTTTTTGTCGGTCACAAGAGTTACATGAGTATTAAAGTGCATCTCAGATGAGATCCGAACATGGTGAGCCACAAAAATGTTTTTACAACTCAGTGGCATTTTAGATCAGTCTTTGTACCCTGTTAACATGGACACATTGAAAGTAGTTGGGGCTTTATAATCACATTTATAATATATTGTTAAATTAAATCGAGGCAGACACAATAAAATACCATTGATTAAATTAGAGTATAGAAAGTATTGATTATGAAACCAAAATGTTATGAGCATTATCATTTGGCATCATTGAAACTGTATTTCAGTACAGTGGCAATTCAAATGTGTAACCGTAGAATTATTTGTACTCTCAGCTGTGGGACCTGTTGATGCCAACAATCAAACTGGAGTCCAGGATAACCAAACAGTGGGGAGACATTGGATTCCAAGGAGATGACCCCAAGACTGACTTCAGAGGAATGGGCATGCTGGGCCTTATCAACCTTGTGTGAGTCAATGAGACATTTATTAAGTTAGAAAGTGCTACAGATAATACCAGCACTAACCATTAAGGCCATTTACTGGACTTGTCTGCCAAAATACAAGGACACTGTTGCCATTTATTGCATTTATGATGGAAATAGAATTTTGACATTGTTTCATTCACATCAAATTTCATCACTTTTCTGTAAATATGAACTGCATTTGAACAGTTTTTTTATAGGCTTAGACATCTCCTGGGGGGTCTTACCTGACTTGCCTTGCTGAAAGAAGGGTAAATAATTGTTTAAACAATCAATAAAAGGTGTAAAAACAACAAAACAAGGCAAGAGTGAAACACCGCTCAGAAAGCTGACCAAGCAAGACAAACTTCTTTCCCAGCTGGATGTCAATAGGAGCTTGAAAATGCAAATCAAGGAAATCCACATGGTCAGCAAAACTATAGCAAAACTATATATAGGAGCAGCGGGCTACAGAGGTCTGGTTTTCCAAACTCTACATGCCCAGATTTATTTCATTTTCAAACTTGTAGTCTTCAGACCCAAAAAATGTTGCAGGCAGTTTATCATACTTCATGCAGCTCCCTCTGCCACAGAAGTCTTTATCCAACTTTTTGAAAATATGCAGTTGTATTCCTCAAGACCTGTAAACAGACTCTGATGGACTATGGTTATTGCCGCGAATACAAGAGTAGTTGTGAACAAGATCTCATATTGAGATTAAACCAGCAATTATAGGCAAAGTCAGGACTGTCTCATAGTAAACAATATTGATTCTGAAATATTTTTGTTCTATTACAGTTTTTTCAGTGAAAACTACACAGAGGAGGCTCGTCAGGTGTTGTCTCATGCAAACCATCCTAAACTAGGGTAAGAGACATAAATACATGGGTGGTATTAGCATATTTCAGTATTGTGCCAAAGGTATATATATATATATAAGATATAAATCATTGCATTATTGCATATAACCGGAACTGCCAGAATTAAAATCAAACCAGTTCGTCGGGTTCACCGTGACTTTGACGTGTCACTCTTGGCATGCACTTCATGCTAATTTTGTATTCCTCATGTTTTAGGTATTCATATGCCATAGTTGGGATCAACTTGACAGAAATGGCTTACAGCCTTCTGAAGAGTGGTGCTTTGAAACCCCATTTTTACAACACAGTACTGGGCACACCTGAGCTCTGGCACTTTCATCAGCTATACTGTGAGTAAAAAAAAATATAACAACAACATTTTTCTGTTCTTCGACATCTCTCGGCGTTTTCCATCCGCTGAAAAATACGTAACATATTTTTCTAGTAGAAGTGAAATTTTGTCGGCTGTTTTTATAAACTAAACTAAATGACTAAAGTGTGTGTTTCTTGTCTTCTAGGTTATCTGGCATATGAATTTGATCATTTCTGGGTTGCAGAAAAACCAGAAAGCATCATGCACTTTAATCAATACCGAGAAAAATTCCATCACATAGTCAAGACGCATCTACAGGACCCCGATGTGTCCCTCACACTGGCCGTCCGATCTAAAAACTAACACTATTCACAAATATTCCCTGACTTCTCCATGGTCCATAACCTTGTTTGATGTGGTAAAAGAAGGCAAGAAGCATAAGCAAAGCTAAAGGTTATAAGCAGACTGAAGCTTGTCGGTCACTTATATTCCAGCATAAATTTGAAGAAATAAATCCCCATGTATTTGATTTTGTGATTTATTAGTCATGCTCTGTTCATCTCGTCACAGTGATAGTTAAGGGTTTCAAAATACAGCACAACTCTAACACCCTATACCTCAAAAGCTGAGCATTCCAAGGTTAAATTACCTTTTTTAAAGAGGAAATGAGAGCTGCTACAGAGTGAAAACAGGTCTTTCTTTTTTAAGGGTTAAAGTACTTTCAGTGAGCGAGCAGCCAACTTGTTGCGGTCATTGAAAAATGGTGATTAACTACCATGTTTGTAGAGGTCTTGTTTGTATTTATTTAACAAGACTTGCGTGTTCTCACAGTTGTCCTGCTCAGGAATTTAATTTTTATGTCCGGAGACCATGGCTGAAACTTAATTTAAGTTTTAATGTATTGCCCTTGATGTCATCTGTATTCTGTAATATAGGTGATGTGGAACTCAAAAATGTTGCTTGCCTCCTTTTTCATAAATTTGTATGTCTGAGATACTGCAAAGACTTACCTTTTTATTTTTTTGTTGTGGAAGGTATGTAATGATTAACACATCTTACTCAAAGTTAATAAATACATGTTAATGTTTTGAAATGTCATTCGTGTGGTACAAGTAATACCACAAGTTAGTTAAGCAAGCACAGTGTCTGTAAAACAAGTCAAATATATTTAGTTTACATAAACATGTTTGACATATGATTATGGGTATCAGTGTTATTTCTCATAAAACGTGTACTGGTTTAAGCTGCCTGAAATGTATAATTGGCAGATTTCGATTTACTGGTCTGAACCCTCCCAACGGCGGTTTTCACTGCCTAGTGTTCGCACCATTCACTCCCATAAAAATTTGAATGGGTTCAAAATTATAAATATAAAGATACAGCTGCATTGCTTTCACACATCTGTTCAACATCAAGTCAAAATTCAAGGTAGATTGTCCAATAATCCTTTTTCAACAAAGGATTTTCTTCTTTGTCAACACAAGACAAAAAGAATAAAACTAAAATGTGAATTGATATTCATTAGGTTTCTTCTGCGATGCGCCAACCCAGCGGTGCTTCAGGTTTTTCCAGTCAAACCTGGAAACAGGAATCTCAATTTCTGTCCTCAATCCTCTTCTTTGTGACCATCATGGCTCTCTTGATTTGTTCGAATGAGACAAACATCACAACATTCCACGATCCCAACCTCAGAAACGAGGGCACGAATCTACAAGAAACAAAAGAGGTTTGTTTTGAAGAATGTATGCTGGAATAGCTCCACCAATGTAGCACTGCTGAAACATTTCTATCAAATGAGTTTAAGTACAGATATTCCTAAACAAATGAGTATGTGCTAATGACATCTGTGAGGAAGAGCTCACCCTTTGTAGAAAGCCGTAGGCCCCTCTTTAGTCAACATGGTCCACGAGCAGTTGATAGCGCTCTTGTACTGGCCTGGTGGTGAGTTCATGTATCTGGTTTTCACCACATCTACTGGGGAAGCAATCACTGTAGTAACAAAACCGGCCCCAAACGCAGAGACAAAGTGGCAAGGCAAATTGTCTGTGGAGAGAAATAGAAAATAAAAACAATTAAAAAACATGAATGACAGCAACCAGGGGGCCCTTGTTCTGAGCTGAACAGTATATAAACTCATGTCAGCAGATTATGCAACCTGGTGAACGGACCAAGATAAATGTCATAATAAGTTCAGCATTTACAGCGCTGTGAAGGGAAAAAAACACCTTGTTCTGTAGCATCAGCATGTGTGCTGTTATCAGCTGTGGTGGAGTTGAAAGGGGTGAGAGGGTGTGTGGATTTCTGTCCAATCAGCTGGCTCTCTGGGATGACATTACATTTATGTGTGTTTGTGTGTTACTGTAGCCCAGACACACATGCATGAGCTCTCCCACTCACCTGACATCAGTTTGTGTCTAAGGATTGCCTCCTTGATCAAGTCGTATGTAACCAGCTCTGTACAGTTGACAAGCGCGTTTCTTGTGATGTTGGGCAGTGTGCCTACAGGAGCCAGAAAAGAATAATAACTTATCTAAATCATTTCTGGGTCTCATTTTCATGGCAGGGGAGACCCCAAAAGATTAACTTTGTAAAGTTTTCAAGCATGCTTCCCAAATGCCACCTTTCCAGAGTCCACGAAGGCCCTCATTCTGAAATATGTGTTTATAGGCCTGCATCGTGCCACTGTAGCGACGGGCCACACCATTGAGGTTCATCTGGGCTTGGAATCGAACCTTGACCACATCAGTGGGTTGTGCAAAGGACACTGCCATGGCGCCTGTAGTGCAGCCAGCAAGGATACGTACCACTACACCAGGGTCTGGAGAAGGAGGGATATAACTCAGTACATTACTCAGTTAATGTAATTAAGTACAGGTTCGAGATGCTTGTGATTTAATCTATCTAGCTATCTAAAAATATTTTTAATCCTCAATTAAAACATCAATTGATCGCTCAGATTCTTCACATTTTCCCTGAAACTCATATTACACCTAATATGTACTTAATAGTACATGTTGTGTACTTTAGTTACTTAGGATTTTAATTGTATCCCAATACTGCTGTTATTTCTATCTATAGTGTACAGCTGCTGCACATCCATCAGTCCTGGATAAGGGACCCCTCTGCTGTTTTCCTCAGGGTGTTTTCTCTTTGAAAAGAGTTTTTCCTCATCTGAATCGAGGGTTTAAGGATAGAGGGTGTGATATGTTGTATGTATTGTAAAGCTCTGCAGTTGATATTCATCATGTAAGGATTTTGATCAGTGGAACATTAAACTCTACAAATAATTGATGTCATCAGGATTAATCTGATTTGTTAAAGCTTAAAAATATGTCATTAAAACAAAAAAACCTGCACGTATCACATACTGTCTTTGCCACCAGTGTAGAAATCTTTGACGTTGTCGTAGAGGCCAATTCTGACAGAGGCAAAGCACACTTGTCTCTGCAGCCCAGCTACCAGCCCGTTGTACAGAGACTTGGGCCCCTCTGTCCGGATCATGGTGCTGATTGTCCCAAACACCCCTTTGTAGCGGATTCCTTCCACTGCCTTCTTCTCTCCTTGAATCTGGGGTCACAGATTGTACTCAAGGCTTAAAACATGCCTTACAGAACAAAAGTAGAAACCCTTTAGACTGAAAGGTGCAGTGTGTAGCAGCAGAAATAGAAAATAGAAGTGAATGAGTGCAGTTGGATTAATTGGTATTGAAGTTGACAGTCAAGCTGCTCAGTCGGTAGTTGCCAAGATAACACTGATGATCATCATCATAATGTAATGTATGGATGCATTGCAGGAAAACATGTTATATGATACTGGAGATGAGGGAAGAAAGGTTTTCTTTCTTATTTGTCAGAACCGAATGAACTGATACCTGTAGTCTGACTTTGGCTGTGTCCAGAGGAAATGTGACAATATCAGCTATGCAGGCTGCTGCCCCGGCACTCGCCATCTTCACCCCCCAGAGGAGGGGGAACATCTGAGGGTTTCAGTCCCACCATGTTTCCTAATGCTGGGGTTAAAGGTGTACACAGACGCACAGAGACACACAGGCACAATGAGAACAAATCACCGGGATTCTCCAGAGGAAAACCGCCATATGAACATTAATCTCATCATCGTTCATCTTTTAAACCGAAAGGTTAGTGTGTGCTGAGATATTGTGTAGATTGTTGATAAAAACATACTTACATTGTTTTTGTAAAATTTAAAGGTTCCTTTTGATCATCAGTTGTCTGTTACCGGGCAGGATTTGATTGGCCAAATAATAATCCATAAAGGGCCCCACTCCACAGAAAAGAAAGATGCATCTCATTCTCTGCATTTATAAGGTCTTCTGGCTGCCTTTTTTTTATGACATCCACAGAGAGGCGTTGCTGTGTAGTCCTGTACGCATGGGTCAAAGCAAAGTCCACTGACTCAGAAAGTCAATGTTCAATTTACCCCACAGTGCAGACACATTTCAGAAAAACAACTATTTTAACATGTGACTTTAACAACAGTATCTTTTCATCCAAATTGTGGTCTATGTCTATATGTATCTATCTATCTATCTATCTATCTATCTATATATATACACACACATATATATATAACTATCTAAATATTATGTCTTGCATTTAAGTAGTTTTTGGTAGAAGTTTAAGTAGAATTTGGAAATATCAGCATTTTTTCCTTCTGCCCCATGTCTTACCTGTGTCTGTCACTGACATAATGTTAAGTAATTATTTACCTCATCAAGTAAGTATCTACACTTACCAACAGTCACAATAAAGCACTGTGAGATTGGTTCATTGGAGGCTTGTCTTTGCTCTCGGCCAATGACTGAATGGATGTTTGGACAATGGAGAAAGTGTTTGGAGTCTTTATAGCCAAACCTCACACCAGGTTGCCTTTGTAGTAATGTTACTGTATCATACAGTATTTGTCCATCATAAAACATATTATAACCTACCGTTCATTTATGAGTTCTTAATAACAGATACTTTTCACACTTTTGAGAAAGAGGGCACCGACTTAACAAAAAAGCATTGGGGGAGAGCAGTGACGTTAACTAGTGACTGAAGTTCACTGTGGAGCAGATAAGAACCTTGCATCACACTGTGTTCGGCCTCTCAGCAGTTTGGCAGTGAACTGTACGTGTTTCATAATACCTTGTATGGAAATCATGGGAATGTTTGATTATGGGAAGAATTAAAAGGAGAAGAAAATGTGACTTTATCCCCTCAACTATAATGATAACTAAAACAACATAATAATAAAAAAGGATTTTGGTTGCAAAGCACAACATAGACAAGAACAAAAGGCTCTCTGGCTCCTTATTTTCACATGAATGGATGTCATCATGTTCTTCTGTAATAAATAACTATTAGAAATCAAAACTTTGCCATATTTGTTAGACATGATGAAATCTCACACCAGACCTTTTCAGTTGAGCTTTGAGCTTCAATGATTTTATCATTTCTGGACTGAGATGAGTGAGATGACCTGGTGGACCCCAGATATAAGCAATCTATCTTCTATCCTCATCTAACAAACATGATTTCTGATAGATTGATCATTTAAAGGTGTTTTTTGGACAATGAACATGCTGCTGTGTAATCAGTGGTGGAAGAAGTCAGATCCTTTAAAAGTAATAATACTCTTGTTACAAGTGAAAGTCCTGCATTAAGCTTTTACTTAAATGAATGAGAATTACATTTTAATACTGTAGCTGGTTGAGGTGGATACAATTTGAACTACTTTACTGGGTAGTTTAATCTATAAAAATACATCATATTTTGTAAAAATCATATGGTTTATATGTAAAATCTTAATCTGGAAAGTAACAAGAAACGTAAGCTGTCAAATGTGGAGAGAAAAGTGCAATATTTCTCTTCCCCTGAAATTTAGTGACATATAATTATAAAGTAACATGAACTTAAAAAGCACAAATTTTTAGGTTTTGTAGCTAACAGGTGTAATTAAACTAGTTTAAAAAGAACAAACGATAATGCCATTTCAGCGTCTGTGGAGTCAAAAATTTTTCTTTCTAATGATTATACAAGATCCTCCACCAGGTGGCAGCAACACCTAGTGTCTTTGGTCATATGGTCAAAAAGTGGCACTCTGATTAATGGTGCTTTCAGACCAAAAGCGAAGTGAGCGTTCGGGGCGGTGAGTTTACATAGTCAAAGTCAATGCAAAGACGCGTAGAGCCACGATTTCCTGTCGGGCGGCGCGAAACGACGCGAAGGGGGCGGTACCGGCGGCGCGAAGGCGAAGCGAAGGAATTTCGCATTGACGCTGAGTCGCGATAGCCTATCAACGTTGAGATTGTCCATACGTCGCCAACAGTTTCAGAGCGTTGTGTGGAGAGGGCCAGGCAGAGCGGGCGATTGAAAATCTGCAGGCCGGCTGAGAGCTGCTAAACCGGGGCTAGAGGAGCAGCGAGCAGCGCCCCAGCTTCGGACAAATAAATACCCGTGGTCGGACTGGACTTTGCTCGCAACTACGCCGTTTGGTCGACGGAGGAGCTCGGAGTAAACTGCTTTTATTAAATTAGCTTTTTACTTTAGTTTTTAGGATTACAAAGTTGATTTATCTTCTGTCGAGCTTCTCAGCAGCTAGATTCCGTGCACAACCGGTTCCGGTGTTGTTAACGTCGTTTGGCACTACTTCATATTTATATAAAAACCGGACAAAACTGGACATTGCTGGGAGAAAAGAAAGCAAGTATGTTGAACTACCTGGTGAGTTCAGAAAACATGTGTATGTAACTTTATACCAGCTATCGTTGTACTTTACTGTGAACAAGTTAGCATAGCATAGCCCTGAACGATCCGAACTCCATTCAGAAAACAAACATTTTAGAAGTTGTTGTCTTGCTTTCATACCAAACGCGAATTTTCGCCTCGCGTGAGTACATTCGCTTCAAGTGTTCACACACAACGCGAGAAGGTGATTTTAACGCGATAAGGTGAATAAACACAACTCGCCATTACTACAGCTGTGTGAACCCAAAGTAAACATTTTGCTGTGATTAAATAGCAATAAACAGATCAAACTGATGCCGAAATAACATGTGAATTCATGCTTTGTCAGGTCTGCCAGCGCCATAAGTCAGTGAAAAAGGCTTGAGGCGTTGTACTGTGCAGCATCTAATCAATCATACTGTACTAATACTGTTTTAATTAGATGGAGTGATAAACAATACATCAGGATCCATTAAAATAATAATTATTCACATAAAAAAAGCAATGTCACAAATGTACAGAGCAAAAAAGGTTAAAACGTAAAAAAAGAAAGAAAAGGCAACTTTGGAGAGCAGACAACAATAGCTATGCACATGGCAAGCAAATACATGTTAGTGGATCACATTATATTGTAAACGTATAGACAGTGCAGGCTCTTCATTCAACAGCATTTTTAGTGATTTGATCAGCAGGTCTTTCAGTCTTTTAACTTCCAATCCAAGATGCTCTTTCTGCCACCTTTACTGCCGTTTCTGTTGTGAGCAGTCTCTGATAGTTCTTCTGAAGTTCTTCATCACGATCTAGTCCCCCAGCTACAAATCATGCAGTTCTTTCTCTGCGGCCTTTGGGATGGCGTGTTTGACCTGCATGTGGATTTGAGAAAGCACAGAGGATAAATTCGCACACATCTCAACATTTCATCCTCACACTGACTGGTGTCAGGGAGTTGTCTTTTCACTGGCCCAATTCCAGTGTTCAGTGGTCTGCCAAATAGGATTTCGAAAGGACTGAGACCTCCCCCTGCCCCTCACCCTGCTTCTCATGTGCATTAATGCGATTGGCAAAGCCTTTGTCCATGTTAAACCTGTTTCTTCACAACATTTCAGTTTTTCAATGTGCCATTTTCTCTTTCCACTGCAACTCCGCTAGCTGGAGGCACAATGTTGCCTCAGATCAATCCCCATACACTCCCCTACACTTTCAATGCTGCGCTAATGAAAGGTGTGCCGTTATCACTGGTGATTTTTTTCAGCGAGGAATGATCTGGCTTATCAAAGCTTTTGCAAGTGCTGCTGCGTCCTGTTTAGATGTTGGAAATGCCTTTACCAATTTAGAAAACAATCTACCATGGCAAGACAAAATTTTCAGTTCAGCAACCAGTTTGTGATGAGCGATAGGTTTGCCAGTTTCCCAAAATCATGAGTAACAGACCAAGAATAACGTCAGTCTGTAAAAATGTTTACAATTTTGTCTTTTGCATATTTACATGCCTCCGTCAGTGCAACTAACTCTGCTGCTTGTGCAGAATAGCTTGAAGGCAAGGTTACTGCAAAACCTGCTTGCTTTTTTTCCAGTTGCTAGGTCACATGATGCTGAGCCGTCCACAAACAACTCCATGTCTGGGATTGTTAGACGTGTCTCGTGTAAGTCCGACCTTGGGGAGCAGGCTTCTGTTATGACTGTGTAATGGTGTGTGCTTCTATGCAGGCCTAGAGGTGTTTAGCCTTGCTCTTGAATGCACCTCTAGAGCATCAAATTAGCTCCACCCAGATCAAACCTCCTCATTAGCTGAGCTTATTTAAGGCAGCTGTGTTATCATGTCTGCCTCTTTGCTTTGTCCCTGCCTGTCGGTTGCCACGTGGAACCCTCTGTGACGTTTAGGTAGGCGAGCGAGTTAAAATAAAACAACCTGTCTTATGTTTTCATTGTGTTTCTCTATGACTGAGGTTTTATGTTTTGCAGAAGTCTGCTGCCCGCCTGTTTTATGTGTTTTGTTCCCTGTCTGGAGTGGCGTGATGTATTGTCCTGTACAGAGTACCTTGTGTTAAGGTTGTCAGCTGCTGTTTTACCTTGGTTAAACTAGGATTTTAACAATTGTTACTAATACACTCTGGCTGCGGTGACTCCAGGTGGCACTCCACTAGTTGACTATGCTTGTATTTTAGATGTAACCAACAGGTCTATTGTGTTTTATTTAACTTGTCTTTTCCTTTTCAGTGGTTCTAGTGGTCGGCTTGTGGTGGAGGCTGGGTACGCTAGTGTGGGTCCCTTCACTGATTGTAACGTTAACAGCACTGGGGCACGATTGGGTAGAGACATGATTTGCAGTGACTATTGATTGCAGTGGGCACATGCGGTGGGCAAGTTGGCGCCCCCCCTGGAGCATACCCTTTGTTAGATTGCCTCTCTACAGCTGACCCTGGCCCACTCTGCCTTTTTTGTTTAGTTCAATAATCAGTAATAACTGGGAGTGTGTTGTTAAAAATAAGTAACTTGTTTGCCAAAATTGGAATCTTATATTCCATTGTAATTTGATTAGTTAGGTGCATTATTGACCATCCTCTTTTCAGGCACTTCCAGTTACTAATTAATGAGTAATTCTTTTGGAACCACGTCTGTCTTACTTCAGTAAACCTGTGCAGCCTTTGTATAAAGGGTTAGTCAAAGTGGAATTAGAGCATTTCCTGGGGTGGAAGTCCCCAGGTGACGTTCTTGGAAAGTTAGGTTCTGGTGGTCATTCTTCTTTTAGTGCCACCACCCCCCTTGCCACAACTGCAACACAATCATGCGGCTGTCCTTCGTCTGGAGTCGGGAGGAGAGTTGCAGGATTTAGTACACTACATCTTAACAGTGATGTTACATATCTAGCAACAAAGTATCTCAGCCACCTGGCTGTGGAGAGATGTGTGTTTTTGATGTTGTGTTTTTTTGTTCAAGCAAAATCATTGACACTGCATGTGGAACTAACAAAGTCAAGTCTGAGTAACCCACAATGTCATGTGATGCAATGACTGCTTTTTTCAGCAGCTGCCACAGCTCTCAGGGAGTTTGGATGAAAAATAGGCTACAGGTCTCAGTTGTCCCTCATGGTCTGTCTTGCAACAGCACTGAAGTCAAGCTGAAAAATGCATTTGCCAAATCAACAACCATTTACTGTCAAGTGGTACCTGTGAGGGTTTGGGGCGTGTGTACACCGCTGAGTTGACTTGTTTCAAGTCATGGACAAAACGCCACTCATCTGGCTGTGTCCCGGATCTTCTTCACTGGGAAGATTGGAGTCCTGACCGGAGATTTGTCACATGGGACAATCACTTTCAGGAGGGAATCAAAAACTGGCTTAATGCCTTCAACAGCCCTCTCAGCCTTGCTCTAGGGGAGACATGAAGTCGGTCTGTGTGCATGTGTTCTTGAAAAGTGTTTTGACATCTATGGTTCACTGAGTTAACTGTTGCCTCTGACATCTTCCACTGATCCGTAGGTCAAGTCTGTGTTGCTTGAGGTATCTACCTATTAAATGGAGTGGTGGGAATTGTTGTTTTTCTGGTTCCTTATGAATTGATGCTGAATAAAATTGATTAGGTTAAATACTACTTACATCCAGAAGGTGGCAGTAGTGCAACACAAACTGCCATAAAAACCCAAAGAACAAGATTTTGGGCAGCACATGTGCAATGCCACTTAATCTTGGCGGACAAGTTGCTGCTGGTCTTCGTTTTGGAAGTTGTAAGAGGTTGGACTTCTCTTTTTTTTTTTTTTTGTAGTATCCTCATATTGAGCACGATTGTATTTTGTGTCTGGGATAGAAATGTCCTGTATTTTTCAGGTGCATTTATCAGCAGTAACGTTAACTAGTCTAGGGAGGTGGTCCTTACCTAACATTGCTGCATGACCCAGGTTGAGCCCTGCCAGTGTGAACAATTTACCAATGTGAAATGTAGTGTGTGAACGTTACCGTCTACGCCTCAGCCTGTGCTTGTGGTGTACATAGAGAAGGCTCTGTTTTTACATGTCTGTGTAGATTAGTTTTCTTGTGTTCCAGTCTATACTTTCAGATATCAGGCTTATTTTACTGGTCATAAGAAATGCAAAAGTTACATGTTTGCATGAGAAACTTTGGTTAAAAACAGGTAACTTAATTTTAAACAAACATATATTTTGGACTTGTATTATCAGGCTTGTCTTGTGTTCAGCCAATGGTTTGTAGTGTTTATGAACTTTAATGAATCACTATTGGCCTAAAGCTGTGCATGCTATCTTATTTCATAAACGTAAAAAAGTGCATCACGGTACTCGTGGGTTTTAGGTCAATGTAATGCTAAAAAAATTCAAGTGTGCCTCCATTTTCCCTCTCAATTTCCAAAACATAACTTCATCCGCTCTCCTTTCGCAGGCAAAGGAGAACACATAAGGCTGCTCTTCAACTACCAATATGATGTGCTTGTGGAATGATTCCAGGTGTAATTTGAGGATTCCTACTGCTCCCCTTGTCTGTTTGTTGCGTAACTTGACACACTTCCCATCTCCTCAGTGTGTTGAGGAAGAAAGGAGGCTCTGCAGGGAGGGAACATGGCATATTTTGGCCCAAAGGTATGTTTTGCAGTTGGTAGAAAACATAGAATTGTAAGGTGATGCTGACTTGTCTCTTCTGACATGTATAGAGTAGTGAACAGTCAGAAACCCAAAACATCTGTGTATGCACCCTGAGTATACAATTGGGATTTGACCGTTGCTCACAAAACCTAAACAGCAACACTTGTGCCTCCCTTTCAAAGAATTTTTTTTGTTTGCAGTTGCCTCACAATTTAAACACCCATCAGTGACCAGAGCTTAGGGATCGGATATATTGACGTTTGGAGTGAGCAACAGAAAGTTTGCTTTTCAACATATGTATGAGCCATTTTCATTCTGTATTCTTTTATGTAATTTTTGTCTTGTGCCACTAGGGGGCTGTATGTGCTTTTCAGTTCAGCTGATCTCGAG